TACGAATCTTCATTGTGATTCCCTGAGTTTAGTCTTAGCATTATTAATTTTTGTGAATTTTATTTGAGTTACAAATCGGACGTAATAACGTCAATTTCTCAATCACCATTTATTCCGTTCTCCTCTTTTTTTTTTTATTTCTCGATCCTGTTTATTTCGTTTTTTTTTCTTTTTTTATTTCTTGATCTTGTTATTTTCATTCTTTTCTTTTCTTTTTTTATTTTTCGATCTCGTTTATTTCATTTTTTTCATTTTTTTAATTTTATTTCTCAATACTGTCTATTCCGTTCTTCTCTTTTTTTTTATTTCTCGATCTCGTTTATTTTGTTCTTTTCTTTTTTTTATTTCTCGATCCCGTTTATTTCGTTTTTTATTTTTTTTTTATTTCTCGATCCCGTTTATTTCGTTTTTTTATTTTTTTTATTTCTCGATCCTGTTTATTTCATTTTTTCTTTTTTCTTCTTTATTTCTCGATCCTATTTATTTCGTTTTCTCCTCCTATCTTTTTATTTCTCGATCCTGTTTATTTCATTTTTTCTTTTCTTTTTTTATTTCTCATCTCGTTTATTTTGTTTTTTTCCTTTTCCTTCTCTATTTCTCGATCCTGTTTATTTCATTTTCTCCTCCTCTCTTTTTATTTCTCGATCCCCGTTTATTTCATTTTTTTCATTTTTTTTTATTTCTCGATCCCGCCTATTTTGTTTTCCTCCTTTTTTTTATTTCTATCATTATGGCTTTGGCTGCTCCCGCTGTAGTTCCATTCGAATGGACGTCAACGCTGCAAGAGAATTAATTCAACTTCAACGCGATAATCATAATGATTTTGAGTTCATTCCTAATAATCACCATGAAAGGATATGGAGAACCATATCCAACTAATTGTTTCTTAATAGAGGGTTCGCCGCTTCTTCCTCTCAATGTCGTAGGAAATGGTACTCATTAAAATATGGATACGAAAATCTCAAGAGGTTGGAAGCTGGGGAGAATCCCCACAACCAACCAATAACAAACCCAACTCTGCATGATTAGATATTTCATGCAGAGTTGGGTGACGAATTTTAGCTTTGAACTGGTAATTATTTATTGAATAATAGTAATAAGAAATATATTTTTTACTTTTAAAACTTCAATTTTTTAA